TTCCGGGGCCCAGCGTGGGAAAAAAAAGACGATAAAATTACAAGATGCTTTTTGGAAGTCATTTTTGGCACTTTTTGCAGATTTGTGCTGTTTTTGTTGCGTGCCAAGAGCCAAAACATTGTAATTTACAGTGTTTTTGTGCCTCTGGCATGGCATGGAAGAAACATATCTTGCAACATGCTGAAAACTGCATAAATACCAGTGTTTTTGCTAGGCACTCCAAAAAACATTGTAAATACCGTGATTTTTGTGACCAGAAGCAGAAAACATCGCAAATACCGTGGTTTTGGTCTTCCGGGGCGCAAAAAAACAATCGGTACAGGAAAAATGCCGCGCCTCAGATAGGGGACCCTGATCAAGCACCAGCCTTAGCCCTTACCGTAAGAACCCCTCAGTGTGGACACCCTGTTTGGGGAAAGAACATATCTTTTCGTTCACTCCCACCAAGATGGCCTTTGAAACTACGTATTTCTGAAGTAGCAAGAATTTCAAACTATGAGCCCTCCTTCTATCCTTATTCTTCGTGTTTCTTCCATATTTCTTGCTCAAACTGTCACCCATGCCGCCTGTATAGTAGTAGTAGAGCCAAGCTGATGAGAGAGGCAAATATATACAAGCGAAGATTGTGAGAATATCTTTCCTGGAAGAGCAGCGAGCGTAAGGCAATTTTTGACATGTTTTGAATCTCTGCGTCTGTTTCTCTCTCTCTCTCTCTCTCGCTCTCTCTCGCGACATGGCGACATGAGTTGACGTCAACTCATCACTCCATTCAGTTTGGTCAGTGGCACAACAACCAAGACTTTCAGCCCAAGTTGCGGTCGTGCAATTTTGACATGAACATCAACTTCTTTTTCCTCAATGCCAGAAACTTCAAACTTGACTTGACTTGATGGTCCTCCCTCAAAGATGAAGATCATGAAGATCATGACATGGCACAGCATTTATGATCCAGATGAGTCAAAATGGGTGGTAAAAATTGCAGTATTGCGCGCCAACTCACTAAAACAACGGTCTATATCTGTTACAGCATGCCCACATGACAGCTCAGATGCGGCACGCAATGATGATGCAATCATGATGTCCGAAGAGGGTCGGGGTGGCTTGGATGGTATGTCATGAGTCATCACAAGCATCCGAATCAGCATCGTCATCATCATCATCACCACTATCACGATCACTATCACCATCACCGTCACCATCACCATCATCACCATCATCACCATCATCATTGTCATCATCATCATCATGATCATCATCATCATCACCATCATCATCATCATCATCATCATCATCTTCATCTTCATCCTCATGCTCATGCTCATGCTCATCCTCCTCGTCGCCACCATTACAATATTGATCATGTTCATGGTTATATGTTTGATCTACCCCTGGGGCAGTAACAGTGAGCACAAGCCAGGGGCACAAAAAGAGCACCAGCCAAATGCAGAAAATAAAGGTCTAATCAGGTAGACACCATTATATAACATTTAAATCATTAAATCATGAAATGGTTGAAAAAAACTGTCATGTGAATCGGAAGGAATCAAGCTGCACAGGTTTCTGTTTCTCTCTTCTCGGCTCTGGCTGCTACAGATTTGTTAGGAACTGGCCAACTTATCACCAACATTCCGTTGGAAACCTTAGCAAATCTTAGCAACTACGGCAACCTTAGCAATGACAACTAGCAACAATAACAACAACCACCCCACCAACAGCGACAGCACCATTTTGAAAGGGTAGGTTAAAGGAAAATCATTTATCTGCTGGTACTGGGCGGGGGGTAGATCGAAGTTATATGGCATGCAATATATTGCATAGCATTGCATTGCATTGCCATACCATACCGACCATACCATACATACTATCACTGTAGCGTTGACCGTGTTTTTCACACTGGCTTGTTTCTACAAGAGCTGATTCAACTGCAAATCGTTCCAAAAGCCTAAGAACGTCATGAAGCAATGCCTTACACAGACACAAACACACAAAGGCCCTAGACTCTGTACCCTGTTTCGCATAGAGTTCAGGAGGGAGATATATTACAAGTTGGACAAGAGAAACATGGCACGGTTGTTTCGGCTTTGGCAGGACATGCCAGGCAGTGAACTTGCACCAAGGGACGGTCACACAATCACTGTGTCTCTACTACATGTTCCTTTCCAAGAAACCCCTTTCTTGACATACTTGGCGTGTGCAAAGGTGGTGTGTTCTTCCTGCCAAAGTGTTTGAGGTGCCAAGCTCTGTACAGGTCTTTCTGTAGTCATATAATTTTACTGGAAGGAATGAAAGTGTGCAGCTGGCTATGCGCATGCTCCTGAGTGCTGTTGTCTGGAGGAGCCGTCTTGCCAGATGAATTTCCTTAGCAAACTCTAGCAAGCTTCCCTAATCCACTGTGTCCAACAACTTGAATGCATAGAACTGCTGACCCACTATCTGTCCCGCTCCCTCCAGCTTCCCCAGCTTTCGCATTTCTTGGTATACTGTACTCTAACCCAAGTCTTGGAAGTCTGCAGTGACCTCCCCGATCCAGCCATCAACCAATTGAAAAATCTTATGTCCATGCCTATTTTGCTCCAAAGCGTCCACTTGTCTCTCCTTGGCCAAGCATTGCATTTTGGGTCATTGCCGTGATTAAAAATGGTTGACAAATGGGCCTCGCTCTTGAACACAAAAAGAAATGTTCTTGCTTCCACCTAAGTCTCTTTGTTGGAGCAATTCAACGCATACTGTGTCCATTACATCCACAGCGCAGGGTTCTTGATCAGTGGAAACTCTTTAAGAGAGATGCTGGCAAGTATCGAGGGATAACAGTCTTGTGCAACACTTTGTCTGCTATTGCCCTTTCCTTAGTTCCCGGCATGCTAGTCTTTATCGCATCATTCATGCGCTTTGAAAGCCAAGTTCATGCTGATGAGAAGATAATGCTGCCAAGTATCCAGGGTGTTGGGCCTAAAGCAACAAAAGGCATCGTTGTCACTCGCGTGACACTAGACATGTTATGTTGAAGACACCTCCGAACCTCCGACTCCAATCCATGTATCTTGGCTTTCTTGGAAAAAAAACACCGCAATGAACTGATGGTGACCTTGCGAGAATTCGTTTCCAGGCTGCATCTCCCAGAAGCTAAGAGCTTGATTTTGCGTCAAGAAGCTTGGGAAGTCTCAAGCTTGCCACTGTTTGCATAAGAACAATTGCGGACTGGGATTGATTCGCACTCTCCTGGGCAGGCCATGACACCACCACCACAGACTCCACATGAGCGGAAAAAAGCAATGAAAACGCAATGAAAAAGCATCATTTTGTCAATATCCAATGAAATACCATTGGCATACCATTGGCAACCCAGCCACTCTCTCCACTGCACAGCCATTTTCGACAGAAAGTTCACAATCAATAGCGCCGGCTGAATTCAGCAGTGGCAACAAAAGGCAGATTGCAAGGATTGGACCTGGGCACGCATCGATTGCACTTCTTGACAGAACTTCTTGCGCAAAGCTCTTGTGCCACTGTGCCACTAAAACTGACAAGACACTCATTCAGAGACCACAGAGGTGTAGCACGTAAACCTAACAAGACTCTGGAATCAGCTAATCTCGTACACCTCATGCTTCTCTGAACGCTGTCAGACAACAAAGACCAGTATAGCAGGAATGCAGCCCGGCTTTGCAGAGTGACATTGTGCAATGCAGACAAAGCAACACATGAAGAAGCAGAAGTCGGTTCGGTCAGGATAGGACAAAGCTGTGAAAGGATGCACTCAGCTTCAGCCACTATCACAAATTGAGCATCGTGCTGCAGGAGGCAAGAAAACTATCTCTGCAGCCCGCACCTCTAAAGATATCAGGATAACTGATAACTTTGCAAGCTTGTAGGACATATGTTCCTATGCGTCACAACAATTTGTCAATACGATCTCTAGAACCCGACTCTCCCAGAGTTTTGAGCCCTTACCGGCCCTTGCCAAAGCTCCTGTTGCCAAAACCAAAGTTTTCTCCCCTTCTACGGTGAAAAGTTGATTAACTAGAGCATGATCAGTGGATTGTAGAACATAACTACACAAATCCGCCCACCGCTTTGGCGGTGAAGGCGTGCTTATTGGGGGGCAAAACAGCAACACTAAATGCTCAATGACATTTGTTAATATAGCAGTCGCTATATCAGCTTTAGCTGGGGGGGGGGCCAAAAACGGTTTCGCACCGAGACCAGAATACGGTGGTGTTTTCCACATTTTTCGAGGATTTTTGGGTGTCTGAGCGCAAGAGGGTATTGAAATGGAATTTTGGGTCATTTTGGTAGCTTTCCGGCAATGGAAAAACGGCCAAAAATGAAAAAAAATTGTACATAGCAAGATTTTGCAGGGTTTTTGGATGCCAGAGCATTGAAAACACTGCAAAAACAAGTGTTTTGGACTGACGTTATAGCAAAAAACGTGTAAATTACCGTATGCTTGACTGGAAACATTACAAAAAACACTGTCAAAAGCAATGTTTTGGAAGGATTTACTGCCTTTATGGCAAAAAACGTGTAAATTACCGTCTGTTTGACTGGAAACATTGGAAAAACACTGTCAAAAACAATGTTTTGGAAGGATTTCTTATATATATGTTGGAGTTGGCTACCGGCATTGGAACATGGAAAAATTGAAGAAAACACTGTAAATAGCGGTATTTTCAACGGTTGGGGAGATAAGGGAATTGGAAGCATTGTCGAACATGATGTTTTCGACCGGTTTTATGGCGACAAAAGTGTAAAGTACCGTGCTTTGAAGGAAACCATTGCAAAAACATGGAAACACATTCAAAGAACACGGGATTTGGGGGACTATCTAGGCGTCGTTGTCTAGCTATTTGAAATTCCGCAGCTTGGAGAGCCTCCAAGGGACGGAAAAGTGAAAATTCCATAGCTTGGGAAGCTGTCACGGCGGGGAAAAGTGAAAATTCCCTAGCTTGGGAAGCCCCCACGGGGGGGAAAAGTGAAAATTCCCTAGCTCACGGGGGGGAAAAGTGAAAATTCCCTAGCTTGGGGAGCCCCGACGGAGGGGAAAAGTGAAAATTCCCTAGCTTGGGGAGCCCCCACGGGGGGGAAAAGTGAAAATTCCCTAGCTTGGGGAGCCCCCACGGGGGGGAAAAGTGAAAATTCCCTAGCTTGGGGAGCCCCCACGGGGGGGGAAAGTGAAAATTCTTAGCTTGGGGAGCCCCCACGGGGGAAAACCACCCTTAGCCCCTCTCACGGACCGAAATAAACCTGCGGTGTGGGCGGCCACCCCACGCGAAGCGGGGTGAATATAACACCCAAATACAAACAGTAGGAATTGAGGATGAAAATGGATGAAAATGATGAAAGATACGAAAGGAAAGAATGATTCAACGAGGTTAAGGCGAAGACCCTCAACACAAAGTCGTCTGGAGACACCACAACAGGATCGCCTTGTGGAAGGCGCGGTCTCCGCTTAAGCAAGTCCTTCGATCGCTTCAGCCTTGCCGCACTTTACAAACGGCATCAAATAGTAGTAAATAGTATTAAATAGTCATCAAATGAATTTTAATGAGTTCAAATGGCTCTATTCCAAGTATACGTGATCTAACAAAGTCATACAAGAGTCCAAGGCCAGTCCACCGGCCACGGGTCCACCAACATTTCCAGCTTGGCAACAGTGGCACGGTCGGCTCTGCATTGAAGTCTTTGCTGTTTCGGCCCAGCCGTGCATCTGTCAGAAAGCTCAGTGTCTCACATCATTCACATCTACATAGCGACGAACTTTCTTCGATATTCATCTTGCAGTGAGTTTGTTGCAATGTTTTGCAGCTGAAGTGAAAGATGTTACTTCAAATCATCTTGTACCAGTGGTTTTCAGCAACCATACTCAAAGGACTCAAAGGGTCCTTTCTGATCCTTTCCCTTTTCCGCCTAGGTCTGCAACAGTGCGTGGTCTTTGTCGTCTTTCCTGTTCACCTTGTGGGATCAATAGGGTCACGGACGGTCACGGCAGGATTTGATGTGCAGCTTGACAGCTTCTGTGGGACGACAGCTCAGGTCAGGGCTCCAATGACTCTCCGCAGGTCGTTTGGACCGAGCCTAAGGGAAAACATGAACCGACTGTGTTCTCAAAGCTACCACTAATATTCCATTTGATTCCATTTGAATCCATTTAAGGATATTTAAGTAAGGAGCTTGTGCTTCACCATAGAAGCCATCATTCAAGGAATTGGCCTCGGGATCAGAACAGGTGGATCCAAATGCATGAATAGTGTCATAAGTTGTTTTAAGTTTCAAGTTTTTCCAAATCTTGAAATCCAACCTGGGAAACCACACGGACCATGCAGACCAAGCCATCAAATCCGCCACTGTGCGCGGCCTTGAGACTGGGAAGTGCGACTCTGGCTCGACTTCATCAAGCCTTGCAACAATGCAGATTTTCAACTTCCGTGGCATCGTCAAAGCGCAATCGTCAAGCGTCAACTGTCCAAGATCATCCACGCATATCCACGCTATTCCTATTGAGTTCTTTTGTTGGGATAGGTTGGCACCACTTCGTTTGCAGTGATTCAGAGCCACACCTTGGGGTCTCATCCTCGAATTGGTCGGGCGGAGCACCTAGAACAAGAACAGTTTGGCCATGTTTGGGCCATGTCATCGGCAAGAAATCTTCAGTGACTTCGAACTTCGCATGGCACTGGGCATGGCACTGGGCATGGCACTCGGTTCGGTGGGTTCAGGTTTGACCGCTTCAGCCGCTTCAACCGTTGCAGCCGCTTCAGCCGCTTCAGCCATCATCTCTTCCTTCAGCTTGTTTGGGTCTTTGCCAGCCTGGATGGTCAAAAAAATCTGCAGGCAGCATGCTCAGCTTGCAGACTGGAAGACTCCCAGGCTTGCGAGTTGAGATCAGGATCAATGAAGTCTGCATGCGACCAAATTGGGCCTGCTGAGCTTCAATAATTCTGCTCCACCTCATGGTACCCGAGCCAAAAGAAATGCCATCAATAGGCCAGACGCAAGCACTACATTCGCAGAAAGATTGCTGAGGGAGGAACTCCAAGAGGTTCATGTGGTCCTCATCCAACCCTTCTGTCTGCCTGATTCACATCCCCAAACTTGGCAGGCCATGAGCCAATAAAGTCACGCAAAATGGAGTGCGGCCTCTTTGTGGGCTGCGCTTGAACCTGGTTAACAAAAGAAGCAGCACTCCTTGAAGTTTGAAACTTGGGGGTTGGATGGATACACGCAAAGCTAAGCTTCCCACCTGTTGAGTCTTGCCCTTGCCCTTCCCACGCCCAGAAGACCTTCCGGAACCTTTGTCCTCTCAAATGCTTTCAATTATCAAGTATGAGTAGGTATGGCATGGCCGTATTGCGCAACAGCGCTCCTTCAGATTTCTCCATTCACTGTTCTTCTTGTACGGCTTGCCTCCATGGCGGTCAATGAAATGTCAATGACAGATATACTGGTGTCACTGGCATCAAAATGTGCGAGCTGTCCATGCTGCAGCAAACTTTGAAGATGTTGGACTTGACAAGCGACTCTTATTGCCTTTGTGACTGCCTTTCTTGTCGGCTTCCTTGTTGTCCTCCACTTGAACCGCACAAAGTAACTTTGGAGCCACTTACAGCCCAGAGCTGCCAAAAGATGCTGCTCCAACTCGCGTCCTGCTTGCCCTTTCCGTCGTCTTTGTCTTCTTTCACTTCTATAGCTTCATCGACGACTTCAATGTCTTCATTCATTTCTGGAACTTTGCCTTTGCCCTTTGCCTTTCCTTTGGATGTCTTTCCCTTTCCCTTTCCCTTCTGACCTGGCGATTTAATCAAACAAGAATCTGATTTGATCAAACAACGAAGGGCACCTTGGCTATGGCTGTCCCCATGAACCTCAGCAAGTTTCCCTGGAAGTTTCACACCTTGGATCACCTTCAGACACAATGGAAACAGCTCCGAGGCAAGGACTGCAGGTGCCCAGTTGGCCTCCACATTTGTGAACTGTCTGGACTCAGTCTGGACTGTCCAGACGTTTGAACCTTTGAACATCTTTGAACCATTCAAGTCAAATGAGGCGACCGACCTTTGCGCGAGACACTTGGGGCTTGGCCTGCGCATGACAAATTGACAGGCATTGACAGGCAAAAAAAGGTAGAAATGATGCTGAGCCGTCCGGCCCGGGCCAAATAGCCATCTCCACAAGTAGCGGCTGCCTGGAATGATGCAACTCAGCATTCAAACAGAGGTCAACTACAACCATTCTGAACACCTACAGAAGCAGCTGTGGAAGTGACCCAAAAGAACCATCGACACCATGCTGCCGCGTATGCCTGCAGCGTGTTCTGTTCCATGGCATTTGCTACGTATGATGCCAGCTCCTTGAAGACAAGAAAACACTTCTCCAAAAAATCACACAACGCAGAACATTCCGAAACGTACAGTACAGTAACTGCTCTTTCTCTCTCTTTCTCTCTCTCTCTCTCTTTCTGTCAAAACAGAATGGATGTGCCGCTGTCAGGGCAAAAGAGCAGAAAGTCCAAACACCGCACTTGAATGTCATTTTGAGAAAGTCCCTTTTGACACCACGTCACTGTCGCTCTGCGAATCAGAATGAGTACCAGGACCAAATTCGCGTTTCCAGCAAGGTCTTGCGACAGCATGAAGTACGCGCTTCCTCTCCGCACTGCCATGTCCGAGACAGTGACCCAAGAACGAAGTCAATAGTTGGAGCTCTGCAAGACCACAGAAGGCGCTTCGAATCAGGTTCAGCAATGTTCATCTTCAGTAGCAGGCAAAACCATCGTTGAGAGGCTGTAGGACTGTGTTGAAGGCTCCTCTTTTAGTTTGCGCGGTTAGCTTTTCATTTCAAAATCTCGACTAAATCTAGGTGCACAAATATTTCATGTATAATTATACTGAGTACTGCTTGCAAGCTCCAAGCAGTAACAAAAAATCATTTGGGCCAATGAAAGCGCACCAGAATAGCATGGCGATTTCGGTTTGAACTTGTCAAGGCAAGAAAGATGGCCGAATGTGCATCGTGGCAGAAGGTTCTCAAAGCACCTTGATTGGATGAATTGGCCAAGTGATATCACCGCTCTTCACAACAAAGTCCAAAAAGGGTATGAGTGTCACATCCATTGATTTGTTGGCACTCTTGGTTTCTGCAGGTGTGCACTTGCACTTCCGTGCTGTACAAGTTCGATGGTCTCCAGGGCGATTTGCGGTCCAGTGAGCTCGTAGTACCATTCGTGGCTAATCCCTGTAGTTCGAGCAGCCCCTGAAATGTTTCAAGAAATTCTCTGCGCTTCTCTTATCCGTTGCTATAAGCCTGACACTTCAATTCGCGGGCTCAAACATCAATTCTCTTTGTAGCTCATGAAGCCTATTTGCCGCAAGCCTCCAGAACATCACAGTATATCACAGTCATGTCTCACACATCAGCTTCGCAGAAAGAACACATGCTACACAGATTTTCGGTTTGCAGCCCACCTGGGGTGAGCTCAGCATCACTCCAGCGCTCTTTCAAGCGGCCCGAGGAGTCCTGTCAGTTCAAAACAAGGATGTGCTGTCAACATCTGTCAACTACACGGCTCATTCAGATTTGTCTCTGCTCCGTTTGGATATAGATCGATACAGAATATTAACATATGGATATAGATAAAGATATGGATAGCAGCGAAGAGTGGTATCACATCATGATCGACAACATGATAGTTTCAACAAAACCACAAAACCTAGTAGCCAAGATGGAGAAAACACAAAAAAATGGTTATGTGCCAGTTATGTGCAGCATTTTTTCAAGTGGAGTTTGGGTTTCATGGTTTTGGGATTTGGGGATTACGAATTCAGAAATTTGTGTTACCTCTTTCTAGGGTAGGATTTTAGGGGTTTGGGTGGTTCTATGGTTAAGGGCTCACTTGCTTAGAGGTTTTAGAGGTGTTGTTGTCTGGGAAACTGAGAAAATATGGCCCTACACCAAACGGAATTTGACCTTTGTAAAGAACAAGAGGTTGGAAAAATATAGAGAGGTATTCTATTGATCTATTTACATACGTATGTCATATAATATATATATATATATTATATACATATATTATATATTATATATTATATATATATATCGAGGGTCTTCTTTGAAAGGCAAGACCCATGAAACAAGAAACCCATCAGCATGGCCCTGGTCTGCTGGAAATGGTAATCCCAAAAATGTCGCCTCTCCAGGTACCAAAAGCAAGGCTAGTTGCCACGGAAGCAATGCGGCTCGCTGAAGACGGCGCTTGTAAATTAGGTCTGCCAGGACCACATGTCGTCGCTGAGTACGACCTGAGACCAAAGGATAGCGGAACAGAGTACATCAAGACTAGAAAAATATATGCACAGACATATGTGATGTACAATTATACAATGTATTGTGTATATGACATATATGAGAGTGAATCTTGCATCCAAGAGGCGAAGCTGAACAAAGCCTTTCCAGCGACGGAGGCCCTGCAAAACAGGAAGTGCTGTCAATGCTGCGGCTTGAAAGGTCACAGCATGTCACAACGCTAGAGCCATATGGAGGTTTTTTAAAATAGGGGATCTCCAAAACCATTGGTTTCAATATTTATATAAATACTGAAATGGTCTAATTTAGGATGATTTGCGGGTACCCCCATTTTAAGAAAACCCCGTATCTGCAGACGAAAACCAAGTGTTCATCACACATCTCACAAGCCGCACATAGCGTTGCTCTTGATGTCGTTGCAACTGTAGGCTTTTGCACACCTAGGAATAACATATAATAACATTGTATAAGGCAACACACTGCGTTCAGGTAGCTCTCTTGCTTTCCATCAGTCGGGTCACAAGAGTGAGGATCCGACCCTGCACCACTCCGCAAACAAAGCTGGCAGCCACTTTCTTCGTACTTGAGCTTGCACTGCCTGAAATGATTTCCGTTTCAGCTGCAAAGCTCGACCTGCGAATGCAAAATCTGCCGAACCTTCAACCAACAGCTCCAGGTAACGGTCAAGGATCGCAGGCGGCAGGCCTACATGAGAGAAACATGACAGGCATGACGGGCAGGTGATGTTCATAAGATGTGAAACGGCATGAAAGTTGGAAACATCTTAATCGCAGTGTGCTCGATTGCTCAGAGTGGGGAAAAATGGGCAGCATTACATAGTTACAGCAAAGGGGTTCTATCCTGTTCAAAGCCTCTGCAACTGCCAAGGATGTGGAATCCATCAAGTTCTGCACATACCTGCCGCAACACATGCTCGATATGTTTACGTATAGACATATCTAAAGGATACCCAAGGCGCCCTAAGGTTGTCAACAAAATCAACGGTTGAACGCTGTTGATAGGAGATGATTCCATAGTGGGGGTGGGACATGGTGGGACCCCAGGCCTCATCTTGGTTAGGCTCCACCGCTGCAGATTTGACGTCAGGATCTTTGCCATCTGTGTGCAAGAGCGCCTGTGCCAGCTGACATGACTGCTGCACTGAGTTTCAAACGGAGGCCATACCCAGCCTCTGTTGATAGACGCGATGTAATCCCCGCAATGCCTAGAGATGAGAGCGCACGAAAGAACTTGCAACTTGGTAAGGATTGCTCTATTGTTAGAAAATCTTGATGCCAAAGCAAGACTTTAGCCATCATCTTTATTCAAGATACTTTTTGCAGCAAAGGCACTCTAACTTTGCAGAGACGCCGGTGGAGAGCAGCGACTGTATCAGATTGGGAAGAGATCCGAGAAACCTTCCTCAAATGCAAAAGCAGCTGAAGCATCTGACTCGTTTGCACCCTTCTAAGCAATCGATCGACTTTCTTGAATCGCGATAGAGCGAGGTTGCGTCGCAGAGCTGAAAGGCCGATCTGCGCAATCTGCCTGTCCTTTTGAAGCTGTTTGTTGAAAGCCAGGGTCATCCTGGCCTTTCTGAACCGATGGAAATGAGACCAGGAAGCAAAACAAGTTGGCAGGCCCAGCAGCAATCTCCGTGTGCTAAAAAGATCTACGATGCCATCTGCCCAACGTTGCCATGCAACGTCATCCCTTACTTGCCGTCGCAAGGCTGCCCATTGCGCCCATGATGACAGTATCCAGATTCGCAATTGTCTCTCAGCAGTGCTCTTGATACACTCAGTCAGTCTAACCACACGCCAAAGGCAGAAAGCTGGAGCACAGAGCTGGAAAGATTTGCGGAGCTGCATCACACGGAATTGCCGAAGTGCATGGCAATTGTGCTGCCAAACCAGAAGAATCTGTCTGGCCGCCTTCAGGAGTTGTTCTTTTCGATGAAGTTCAATCAAGTGCAAATTTACAAGGTGTCCCTGCCATGCAAGTATGAAACGACCCAGCCACAAAAGCTCAAACCGCCTCAACTTTGTCCTGCGCTGCAACTTCAAACGTTCTGCACTGGCCAGCCATGCCTGAAAGACTGAGTCCGTATGTCGTTTTAGAGACATCCGATGAAACTCCGCTGCTTGAGCTTCTCTGATCAAAAGCTTGACAGCACCTTGCCAACTGCAAAAAATCTCCGACACTACGCAACCGTGAAGCCAAAGCGCCAAGAGCTGCTGAGCGAAGAGTTGTTGTGTTGCAGCCAACTTTGTGACTTTTTCACGAAAATGGTAAAGCAAATTCCAAGACTTGAGCCTGTTCCGGGAAACAAAGCACTTCTGCTTGCTAGAGACTGCTCGCATTCTCCTCAACCGATCTGCGTTCAGCTTCAATGCTTGCAGACCCTGCTGAGCCTGACGTGTTCTAAGCTTCTGGAGTACCTTTCGAGTCTTCTGCGCAAGCTTCCGTGCATCTTTCAGCAAGGTAAAAGCATGCAACAACATGCGGAGTCTGCGACTGCTTCTTATGCTAGCTTCTCGCACCCTTTCCCTATTGAGGAATTGAAACTGATTGTGCCATGTCACAAGGTTCTGCCTCAACCTGAGGTTTCTCAAGTGTTTAGCTTTGCTTTGGAAGAGCTGCGTTCGCTCAGCTTTGAGCTTTACTGCGTGCTGCCAAGACAGAACCACATCAGCTAGCAACCTCACATGCTGCTGTTGAGCTACACGACGAGCGCTTTGCCCATTCCGCACAGCGGTTTTGAAACATATCAGGACCTTCTTAAAGCTTTCTTTTCTCTCTCTAAGGGACACTGAGCGGGCAAGTCGAGAGACTCGACTTGCCATGTGCCACTCTAAAAGAGCAAGTTGAGTCTCTCGAACAACCCGTGCAGTCCATCTGATCCGCATCTTGAAGCAAGTTGCCCTGAGGTGCAGCATGCTACGAACATAACGCAGCTTCTTCCGTTCCTGGTGCCGCAGCAGCTCTTGCGCCCTAGACGCTTCGACTTGCAGCAACTCTCCAACGGTCCGTCTCCAGGAGCGGAGCAGCGAACGCAAATGTCGACTCAAAGCCAAGCGGTTTGCTCGCCGAAGCTCTTGTGCTTGTCCAATGCTCCAGAGTCTCCAAGCACTCAAACATCTCAAAAAAAACTTCGAGCCCTCTCGAGTCCAAATGTGAAGAGATTGAGGTGGACGGTCATTGATTTTGTCAGAAATTGGACCAAAGATAATTTGCATCTTCTCCGGATCTGCATCCTCGGGAGCATTCATGGAATGGCCTCGGCAGTGATGTGTTCAACTGTGAAAAACAAATAAAAACAAGCTCACAAACCCAAACACACGAAGAAAACCAAGAAAGCAGAAGAGCAGCCGAGCTACTCAAACGACCCATGTGCACATATAGCCGAGCTAGCAAGTCTCGCTACATATCTTGGCAGGCACAAAGAAGCAGCTAGTCCCGTTCTTGAGCCATAATAATTCGGCAAACAGGCAGAAGCTCTAAAGAAAGGCATCATTTGTTCAGGCTGCGAATGCCTAGTGGCCTAGTACTGACAGATCATCAGGGGACCACTCACTCTGGCAGCCATGTCCTCTTCAGTCAGCGCATCCTCAATTGATTCCACCACTCTCTTGGCAGTTCTGTAATCGTTGGGCTCGTGTTTGTCCTGCTCATGAGACAGGTGGCACAAAATGGAGAGGTCATGACCGGCCAACGGATTCAAAGAACTGAACAACTACCTTGACACCTTGACGGTCGCCTTGACGTTTCATGTCCGTTTCATGTCCTGTCTTGACACTCTTTTCATCTCTTTTCGCTGCTTTCCATTTGTCTCTCGTTCAGGTGTTTATCCCTTTGGGAAAGTGCATCCTGACTTTGCCAGGAACAAATCCACCACAAATCTCCGCAGAGGCTAAGTGCTGATTTCCAAAGCTTTGCTGTTGGCTTTGAGCAAGCTTGCACTAAAATGGTTCATTGGGATAACACTGGATCCGTTGCTCGAAGACAGATCAACCAGTGCAAAATCTTCCAGCCAAACTATTGACACAGGTTTCAGTCCTGCTAGTCAACAGGGTCAACAAAGTCACAAAGTCTTCTCATATCAATATTCATTAGTTGATACATGTTGATACTAGTTGTAGTTTGGCTGGTAGCTGTGGTAGCTTATTGCTTGGCTGTACGTGGGCTGTGGGTAGCCACTTTGGTAGGGCTGATTCGGATACTGCAGAGGCACCGGCGCTGAAGCAGCCGGACTCGGTGCGGTGTAGGCGATCCTGGGTTCGTTATGAGACAACTGACCAGCGTGAGCAATGTGGGATAATGTGGGCATATTGGGCACAGATTTCCCTTCAAGAAGCCAAGAAAAGCTTTGCAAATCGGAACACTTGGACTTCGAGCTTGAAGGCCAAAAGCACTCCGACCACTCTATTCGCCATGCGAATCATACATGGAAGTTGACAAAAATCATCCAGATTTAGGGTGCGTGTACCAGTGCAGCAAATCATACCCAGTGAGCTTCAAGAGGTGCATGGAATCATGCCACAACACGGGTAATGTGTGTCTGACTTAGAAGTCCGCCAACCTACTTTTTTGCCCCCTCGTATATAATATGCAGGTGTTAAGTAGAAAAGTGCCGAACCTTTCCAGGTTGTTTTACAGGATGGTTTCTTCATTTCGGGTTGGATGTAGGGGTGAAATAAAATGTCCAAAGGACAACCCCTCAAGCTACATCCAAATGCAGAAAAGCAACATCAAGGTGAGTGCTTGAGCAGCAAACGCCAGAAACAGAAGCCCAATTATCAACTGAAAGCATATCATGTTTCGCGCGGTGATGCAGCGGCCGAAGAAGCTGCAATGGTGATCGAATCCTCGCAAGTCTTCAGCATCACGCCATGGTTCTGCTCAAAACCTACATGGATCTCTTGAGCTCTCTAGAAAAAGATAGAAAAAGTGTAGAGTCGATAGATTCCTCCTGGAGGGAGAAGCAACTTAGACTGGGTCTCCCAACCTGACACACACCGCTGGCAAACTCTGCAATGATGCGATCCAGAGGGTCGCCATACAAAACACCTGGTACCTTGGCCAGTTGCAGGTTCCACATCTTGCAAAGTTTGACTGAATTATGGCAGACTGCCACCCTTGCTCAGAACTTGCTCACATCGAAGACCATTTAAGGACTTCAAGTGCACAGAGTGCAGCCAAGCTGCAGTAGGTCTGCCCATCCAAACCACAAATATTTGAATGCACCTCCTCCGTTGTCCTTCCCCACACAATATCTCTCGCCCGATCAGGGACTGGATAGCAGCTTTGTGGACTCCGTCTGATCTCTCCAGTGGGTCCAACCAGGATGAATGCCAAGGCCAGCACCTCAACAAGGCACTGAGCTGGAGAAAAGCTGCGATCAGTCGAAGGCCTGACAGCCCTGACAGCCCTGACAGCCTGAGCTTCCGGCAGCCAAAATGGCACTGAGACCCATGATAGGAACGATGTAGTCGGACACCACTGGCACCACCGTAGTAGAGCTGCCCACTGCAACCGGGACGCCCACACCATCAAGTATAAGAAGAAAAACAACCGCCGCTGCTATCCTGGATCGGCAGTTGCAAAGATTCTACACACACGCTTATTGCCATCTTATTGCTCACAAACATTGCTAGGGGAATCACATATTGCACCGATGTTTTGCTCACCAAGGACTGTTGCCAAGAGAAACCAACACAATTCAAACCACTCTTCCAAAGCTCTAACAGGTGTCTGGATGTGTCTGGTCAAGCTGGGTCACGGTGGTCCCACAAAGTAGTTGGTTGCTCGCTCCAGAAGCGGAGGAAGCAGCTCCATAGGAAGCTCCTGCAAAGTCTATGTGTCAACCTTTAGGAGGCTTCTCAAACTGGAATTGGATCGGAGTTGTAGAGTGCAAAAAGATGCAAAAAGCAAGTGTCCAAAGACGCGTCTTCTGATTCGTCCTTCTCCGACCAATTTGACGACGTTGGACTCACCGGCTGTCCCAAGAGCAACGATCCCTCCCACATGACGACAAACGCACAGCACAACGGACAGCACAATGGGTGCTTGAACCATAAAGCCTTGAGAAAAATCAGCCTGTGATCAGCGAGAAATCTCTGCGGTGTCTAAGCATCTTATTTAAGCTTTCAATCAAACAGCTCCGATTGACCACAAACCCCAAGAATCCACGACTACTTTGCACTTGCCCTCTCTATTGAGTCCTCTCTCAACCGCTCCAAAACCCAGCCGCCGTCTTCCCAAGCGCCGTTCATGGTAAACCTGAATTCAGAGAAGGTCGATGTAGATCACAAAACCATACAAAACCCAACTTGCAGCGACACAAACTGCCAAGCACTCTATATTACATCTCATCGCAGATTCTGCGGACCCCACTTTACAGGGTCTGTAGGCGTGAAGGTTTTCGCATCAGGATGCCATTTGCATTCTCCAATTTTTCCGTTGAAGCGGCTTGGATCCTACAGTGTTCAAAAAAAAGGCTGCAGGGGTCGACAATCTCGTGAGAATAAGGTCGTCAGTTTCTCAGTAGCTCCAACATCAGAAGGCATGAAAAACATGAAATAAACATGAATTCTGACCATTTCTGACCATTTCTGACCTGCATGCTCACTACATGCTCACTACATGCTCACTACATGCCAGCGACCTCCTTGAGCTGCTTGAAGGCTTTACCTGTCTTCGCTAGCCAATGACCGGAGAACTTGACCTTTGCAACCCATCTGCCAACAAAGTCTCACTCTGCATTCGGCAGTCATCTCAAAACTGCGTAAATTCCAAGGCAACAAGTGAACACCTTTCAGTTATGGGGATTACTGGGGATTACGATTACGCAACATCTTGGGACTCAGCACTGCTTTCGTCAAATGAACACGAACGAATAATGTGGTCCGTAGGGCAAACCAAATCATGGGCCACTGTCCTGGAACTTCCATGATCAAACCATTTTCTGAATACAGGACTGGCGGGTGAAGCTGGCCATATTTTACAAGCTGACAACATTGATCAGTATTGATCTCTTAAGATTGGTTATGAGTGTAACATAGTGTAACTAAGCTGATAGCCACTGATAGCTCTAATGTTGGGAAGAGAATAGGTGGACCGAGTTTTCAGTGCTGGATGCACGAAGCCGTCAGTGTTGAGTTTTCGCCGCATGCCCACTGTTTCACTCTCGTGTCATGAATTGGCAAGAATCCATGCAGAGGAAAATAACATTGTACCAAGTGCGCATCGCTGGATTGACTTGTGGTTGGCCAGTGGCTGATATGCATTTAGGCTGAAATGTCCGAAAAGCTGAAGGCTTGCTGCGATTAAGCCTCGTACCCGCCAGTTGTGAGAAGCCTTGTAGCCAACGAGCAGCTTGACCTGAGCATCAAATGACAAGGACACCTTTGGCTCAACTGGACGTGAACAGAGGGTTGACGTGAACACTGTGCAAATTGAAGCGCTAAGAGTCCAGCGTGCATGTTCTTTCCATCGCCAAACACAACCTCTTTTGCAAAACTGCAGGTCCCAGATGGTCCCAGCCCCGCAATCCCAAAGCATCTTTAAGACGTGGATTCTCGGATTCGCATCCTGGGCTGATTTGGCACACCTCCAGTTTGAAATCCACCGTATTCATGTGCGCGGGCTTCCACTTCAAGAGTGCAGGGCATGTTCCCGGCGCATACGGTACCATGACCTGTCCACATTCGTGTCGGTAAACTGTCAGTACTCTCAAATACTCTCGAAGGAGAAGATTTCAGACACAGATCTCTCTCCATTAAAACATGCAAAACATGGACATGCCGGTGGCCATTCTTAGCCTGTGTCTTGTGCAGGGTTTGTGAGTGTCAGATAATGAAACTGAGCAGCCCACAGGAGTGAAAACAAGGCCATCCGTTTCATGTGGCAATTTGCCAGCTCAGGCGACCGAATGTCAAGAAGTCATTGTGGCACTGACTTTGTAGTCAAAACAGCCAAAGTGTCTCTGCAAGTAAAACATGCAAACCAATCAGATGGCACTGATGCAAAAAATGGACACTGAGGCCCAGACCGATGGAAACAACATCTTTGATCTGCCAAAGCTCAAAGAAGTCCTCACCCACACTAGAAACAGGACTTGGCAAAGGTCAAATGCTACAAATGTATATTCACAAAGTGATTCATTAGACTGGTTTCTTAAAAGTCATTTTTGCTGTAGAAATAGGTAGCAAGGCAACTGTCTGTCCTTCAACATCAGCTGAATAGTATCGTTGGCTTTTCGCCCAAAACTCAAAAGCTGCTCCTCTCAGGTCATTAGTCGTTTTCATTGAACCGTGTTTTGGAGTTGAGCAGTCATTGGAGTCATTGGCAATATGGCAACAAACAATCAAGAGTCCGTTAAGACTCTTAAATGGATTTAAATGGTATGAGAACATCCAGTCCTTTGGTAAAATCACGTCAAAGAGTGCCTTCTTCAATCTGTACAATAGAGGACGGTGGGTCAAGTCCTGCAACAGAAGCAGTCCAAGACATCAATACGTCCATGCAGCACATGCAGTGTAAAGAGGTCCTCATCACCAATATGCATCGCATCATACACCAAGTACCGAAGGCATGTCTGGTTTCCCTGATCACACTGAGAATTGCTGCCAAGCAAAAGCAGAACTCAAATGTTCAAAAACCTCAAGCATTCGAAACAAGCTAGCAGCAGCTAAAAATCGGTACCTCTGCATCTTCAGCATCAACAACAAGTTCTCCATCCAAGAGCGTATTGTGATGCCATCCAGGTGCCCTGGAATGTGCAAGCTAACTGGTTTACAGACGGTCGCTTCAAACTCGAGTTCCAATGTGGCACCTTCCAGACCTTTCATCATTGGAAGTTCCATTGGAAACATTGGGCAGAGGGAGCTGCACCTTGAGGTCACCGAACAACTCACAGTGAAAGTGGAGCAAAGCAGCGAAGCAGCGAAGCTGATCCGAGCTGAGAGTGCGACAGGGCAATGCCACACACAGCACTTTCTGTCGATTAAATACACATGGCCTAGAGCCACAGTGATAAAATGTGAGGGAATGGACAGCAACTGATCCCTAGACAAAACGAACACGCAAAAAACACTATGCGGACTATGCGCAAACATACCGTGTGAACGAACAGCACACTATGGACCTTGATAGGCCAGCAACAAGTGGCGCTCCCCGTCTGTTTTTTCACAGACAAGATATGGTTCCTGTGCGGCTTGCATGCTTCAGCAATGTTTCAGCAAGGCAGCAGCTGTTGTGCGTGTGTCCTGCAACAGCTGCTCTCCAACCTTTTGCCGCGTCAGCGATGTTGGCTGGGCTCCCGGAAAGGCGTCCTGAAAATGCATCACGTTAGAGAAAGTGTCGTCTTTGGGTCTGAAGTTGGTGGGTTCAAAGAAAATGTGTCAATGGGCAGCAACGGGCACCGGAATCTGCCCGTGCACAAGATGGTTGCACAGTTCGATAATCTCCTTGGCCCAACACTAAGATCGGCAAATTGCAAAAGTTCTGCCATTGCGTTTGATCAAAGCAATTAAGACATACACCAACTCTCTAGAGTGAGGTGGATTGGTTGGATTCCTGGCATGAAAACAAGCAGGAATTCTGGTACAGGCAATGGCTGGTCCATGCAACTTCTTTCAAACCAGCCAAGCATACCCTCTGAGCAAGGAAATCTGGGCAGATTGCTTTGCAATCTCCATTGCAGTCTCGTCATTGAATCTTGAAACCAGATCGTTTCAGCCCTCCCACACTTCAAGTATGTGTAACGAACACACGTTCTCTGTTCCAACGAAATTGTTTGCATTACAATTTGCTGTATCCGGAGTGCTTGGTGTGGTGTTCGCGGCGAACTGAAACCCAGTTTCGTTGTTTTTGAATATGTGTTGCTAGTAAATTCAACGTGCCCAATTTCGACAATTGATCAATTTCCCGTTCCTTTTTGAGGCACACCGGCGAATCTGGCAAAATTGAAGAGAATGTCAATGACGCTGACATTTTTGCATAATAGAGCATTTGAACGTTTTTGCCGCAAAGTCTTGCTGCCTGCTCGTTCATGCCACCTTTCAAAGCATTTTCCAAACATCATCAATGATTTTTCCTGTGGAAATTTCAGCAACTGTATGTATGTAATTTTGATCATTTGCTGGATCAAATTTCACTTCGCCATTTTCGTGCGGTTCAACAAACATTGCTATCACACTGTGCAACCATCCGACTCTCAACAAGTGCCCGCCTGAAGCACATCAAACAGCATGAATGATTGAGAAATCATGACCTGCATACATTTTTTGCGCGTTCAAAGGTCCATGCTAAACATATACATGATTCATGATCATTTTTGTTGGGTCAATGAGTGAAGAACTGACGACTTAATTTGTGCAGTCTGACCATTTTGAAAAACATTGTTACAGCATGGCTGATTCACAACCCTGTGTTCCAAATCGGCAAACACATGAGTTGAGCCGAAACACTTGAAGTACAATGGCACAAATTTTTTGAAAACATTCACAAACATTTTGCGTGAAAAAAAATCAAATCCAATTGTTTTGAGACCGGGTGGCGTGGTGATACGACTATGTAGCAACAGACCACCTTGCATGGCAACGCAAGCACTCATGAAAATACATCATCACAAACAAGTAGTTACAAAAATCACATGATTGTGTCAAGGATGTGGGGAGCAAACAGCGCATTCAACGGCAAAAAAAACGTCAAGTCAGTCCATGTCCAAAAAAAAATCAAGATGGGTTCCGTCCGACAAGTGACCACGATAAATCCGCCCGCGCCGAAAATGCCGAGTGAGGTCGTTTACGGATACTTATCATATATTGGAACAAGTACTGCACCAGTTGTCACGTTGGGGGGGGAACACAACAAGCGCCCAACCACAAATGCACCATGCCACAAAGCAAAACTCAAAACACCGCGACCCAAACATAAAAGAACCTGGGGCATGGTAGTGAAATCAAACGCAAACGTCAACGTCACCACCGTCGCAGGATTGTAATCAACACTCAAAAATAAATGCCTTCATGAGGCGCCAAATCGAAAACGTTTCGAAAAGTGAGTGATGGAAAAAACTCAGACATCAAACAAAAATCACAGCGTGGAAAATCGAAGCACGGAATTCACGAAACGGTCATGCACACGTGAGACAAAGGCGCAACACCATTTTGTCGACAGAAAGATGGGGGATCGTTCAAGTCCCGCCCATTTAGGGCTTAGGGAGTGGTTTGTTGCAGTGGAGGGTGGTTGGGTGCAACAAGCTACTCAAAGGTGAGTAAAAACCCACCCACCCACCACTGCAGCCAAAATTCAGTGGACATCATAAAGTCATTGCAATCAATGACAGATGTGCAAATGGTTGCACAGCAACTGTATTCGAAACATGTCGAAACACAAAAAGTGAAACAAAAAACATCAGTGAAGAAGTGCAAACCAAACATGAAACAAGTTCCACAACAACTGGCACCAGTCGAGATTGTTTCAGTTTGGAAATAAAAAGTTTTGTGTTGGGGCGCAGCGTGCATGCACAATGCGGGACGCAGGCAAGAGACCCCCCCAACAACATTAAAAGAACCCACAGTACGCGTCGCATGGAGCAAAGTGGCACATAGCCACAAATAAAAAGCGATTTTGTTCCTTTTAAGATAAAGTTGTATCTACTTCGTAGAAAAATGCTTATCATATATTGGAACAAGTACTGCACCAGTTGTCACGTTGGGGGGGGAACACAACAAGCGCCCAACCACAAATGCACCATGCCACAAAGCAAAACTCAAAACACCGCGACCCAAACATAAAAGAACCTGGGGCATGGTAGTGAAATCAAACGCAAACGTCAACGTCACCACCGTCGCAGGATTGTAATCAACACTCAAAAATAAATGCCTTCATGAGGCGCCAAATCGAAAACGTTTCGAAAAGTGAGTGATGGAAAAAACTCAGACATCAAACAAAAATCACAGCGTGGAAAATCGAAGCACGGAATTCACGAAACGGTCATGCACACGTGAGACAAAGGCGCAACACCATTTTGTCGACAGAAAGATGGGGGATCGTTCAAGTCCCGCCCATTTAGGGCTTAGGGAGTGGTTTGTTGCAGTGGAGGGTGGGTGGGTGCAACAAGCTACTCAAAGGTGAGTAAAAACCCACCCACCCACCACTGCAGCCAAAATTCAGTGGACATCATAAAGTCATTGCAATCAATGACAGATGTGCAAATGGTTGCACAGCAACTGTATTCGAAACATGTCGAAACACAAAAAGTGAAACAAAAAACATCAGTGAAGAAGTGCAAACCAAACATGAAACAAGTTCCACAACAACTGGCACCAGTCGAGATTGTTTCAGTTTGGAAATAAAAAGTTTTGTGTTGGGGCGCAGCGTGCATGCACAACGCGGGACGCAGGCAAGAGACCCCCCCAACAACATTAAAAGAACCCACAGTACGCGTCGCATGGAGCAAAGTGGCACATAGCCACAAATAAAAAGCGATTTTGTTCCTTTTAAGATAAAGTTGTATCTACTTCGTAGAAGAATGCTTATCATATATTGGAACAAGTACTGCACCAGTTGTCACGTTGGGGGGGGGAACACAACAAGCGCCCAACCACAAATGCACCATGCCACAAAGCAAAACTCAAAACACCGCGACCCAAACATAAAAGAACCTGGGGCGTGGTAGTGAAATCAAACGCAAACGTCAACGTCACCACCGTCACAGGAGTGTAATCAACACTCAAAAATAAATGCCTTCATGAGGCGCCAAATCGAAAACGTTTCAAAACGTTAGTGATGGAAAAAACTCAGACATCAAACAAAAATCACAGCGTGGAAAATCGAAGCACGGAATTCACGAAACGGTCATGCACACATGAGACAAAGGCGCAACACCATTTTGTCGACAGAAAGATGGGGGATCGTTCAAGTCCCGCCCATTTAGCCCCACTCGCATTCGAATGGGACCCACGATCCGTTACCGTGGTTCATCAGGTGCTACAAAAGTTTCTTTGGGACCATAGTCCTCTTTCCACCAAAATTTTCAACAACTGAAAACTTTCCACGTGAGGGGGCATCACCCAAGTTTGAATGGGTCGGTACTCGAGCAAAGTATGGGTGTGCCGACAGCTTGGCTTCAATCGTCGTCCCTATGTGCAACATATGCTGGGCTGCTTTAGTCGAAGCAAAACCAACGATCCAAGCAGACCTCGCCCCTTCGTTGTCAATGAATGCAAACAAACATGTTCCTTTCAAACAATTCCTCCAAAGAAACAAGCTCACGGCGTAGGGCATTATCTCAGCTTCAAATATGTACTGCTGTTGCTGATCCTTTCCCCTGTCACGCATCCACTCTGGGGGCAGGATCTCACCAAAGCACTCACGCACTGATCCGTCTGGAAAAACAAGAACTCCTCCTATGGAGGTTCCGCGCCAAGAGTTCCCATCACCAGCATCTGTGCAAGCTCCATCCAAAAACAAGTAATATGTCTCAGAATCTTGATAGTGGATCCTTCGAGGAGGACCGGACAAGACATGGTCCTTGAGCCACGTCAAGCTGCCCTTGACTGAAGCTGACAAGGGCCTCATGTCACAAGATTCCAGGCCAACCCTCCCAATCTCGTGAAGAGCAGCCTTCGCAAAGCGCCCAAAAACCTGGGCATCTGCAAAAAGAAGCCTGGATCTGAGAGATGTGGCCTCGGCCACTTGCAAGGTGTCGCTTTTGAGAATGCCGTCAATTTTGCAGCAAAGTTCAGTCTTGCGACTTTCGGTATTGCCCACGGTGAAAAATCCGTCCCGCATGTGCCGCAAGTCAAACTCAACTCCAAGAGCCTGAAAGGTTTCACTGAAGGCATGGTCCTTTGCTTCGTCCGTCGAAAGCTGCCACCCAAGAGCTTGAAAGAACATGCGGATCATCCTATCCACTTGGTCAGCAGCAGCTGAAGCAGGGCATGCGCACACAAAATCATCGTAGAAAGAAGACCATACCAATGCTGCTTTGGTGATTCCCAGGCACTTCATGACCTGAGACAAACGCAAGAAAGCTCCCGCCGACGCTGTAGCGCCGAAAGGCATCAATTCCATTCTGAAGAGACGTGGACCCTTGTCTGTCGGACTCCAGACACAGATCCAAGCAAATCTGAGATGGTCCTTTGCAATGCCAATTTGGCGACAAGCTTTCCGCAAGTCATAGCTGCATCCCACCAGCTTCACATTCCCACCCACAGCGCTGAGCCCATGCTTTGATCATAGCACAAACTCATCTATGGAATCAACCTGCAGTTTGTCATGCAAACCAGTTGCACTGTTGACGTGGGAAGCAGAGAAGTTGTCAATGGGCCGCAGTTTCGACTTCTGCATAAGCCCAAAGCGAGGTGAAGCAATGGTTTCGCTTGGAAGCTGATCAACCATCAATGGCCCCGTCAAGAAACCTGAAGCTGCTTCGTCCAAAGTCGCCTGCCACAGCAACTCATCGAGTTCAGCACCACTCAGGTCCGCACATAGTTGCATCTTGTGTTAAGTACGCATTTCATGTCCTGAATCAAATAAAATAAAAATTGCACAGAACATCTCCTTGAGCCGTACGAGGAAGAATCAAGAATTGGAGTCAATTCTCTCAATCTGATGAGTAAAACATTGAAATGAATTACAATCCGCTCTTTCTTTTTCTGCCCGAATGCTGAGAAAATACTTCTGAGAA